TGTGTGTGTGTGTGTGTGTGTGTGTGTGTGTTCAGAGGGGAGTGTTTTTGTGATCTGACCCTTATCAGCCCGTGTGAAACAGGTCACAGTGGAATGATGTGTGGCAGGATATTTACTGCTCGACTTAATTAACAAGGTCAGCAGGCATGTGGGTTGCGCTGCATATATGGAAGTTCAGTGCGTGGTTGTGTGTGTATCTCAGGTTTAACAATTAAAGTGTCCTTCTTGTAAATAATAATGATCTTCGCACCCCCCCCCCCCGTTGTCTGTTTTAGTTGCTCCTGAGAAGCCAGTGCTCACAAGACCGTCGAGTCAGGCCATTACTGTGGGAGAGACCACCAGCTCTGAGGTGTGTGGGTACTTTGTGTGTGTTTCTTTGTTCTCTTAATATGTACAGAGATTGAAGATACACATTATCTGCCACTTATCTGTTGTTCATCCTGCATTTTGTCTACGTTGCGTCAGATTGGTACATGTGTGACAATGAATGGACATCCCCAGCCAAGAATTATCTGGTTTAAAGATGGCCAGCCCCTACCTGAATACAAGGACAGGAAAGAGAGTAAGTGTTCTTTGGCAAAAATATAAAACATGTCTGACATCACTCACTAACTCCTACTTCTCTTCGCTGCGAGTGCGATGCATGATGGTATATATTGCTTGGTTAGTGACCACCGGTTGTACACTAGTTTTCATGATGCATTGTGGGAAACAATGATTATGTACAGTGTAATGGAATCAATCTGTTATTTTTCCCTTCAACTGATTAGTTGATCATATGATGTCGTCCCCTCTCTCTGTCAGAGACCTACATGATCCCCTCGGTGGTGAAGGAGGCCTCGGGTCTCTACACCATGCAGAGCACCTTGTACATGCAGCCCACCAAGGCCGACAAGGACTCAGTGTTCCAGTGCACCGTGGAGTACAGCATGCCAGGGGACCAGATCAAACAGAAGAAGTCCGACACCATCACCATCAACCTCAACTGTGAGTGGAGAGCAAGGGCGACAGCAGAATTGAGGCAGAGGTTAAAGAAAGGCCTTCAATGGTCCTGTGCAATTCCTCCGTAGTGTTTTGTGGTGAATTAGTTAATATGAATTACGAAGATACGAAGCATACAAAGTAATTTTTTTAAGAAAAACAGACAAAACGATAGATCAGATAATAAAATAATATGAGGATCATCCCAATGATGAATAATGAAAACAATAGGTAGCTGCAGCCCTATAAAAACTGATAGATGATCTTTTGTATTTGCTTTCTGGGTTTAAATCATTGGGTGCGTATCTCTCATTTTGCTTAACAATTCAGTTTAAAGCAGCCACAGTTGAATTTGATTGTTAGCTGAAGAAGAATGATGAGGAAAAGAAAGGGGAGGGAAAGTAAAACATCCCTTCAGGAATGCACCACACATCTCTGATTGATGATGTACAGTCTAACAGTGTAAATGTATCCAAAGGAGGAATTTCCACCTGTTCCATGTCTGTTCTTGTCCGTCTAGATCCATCAGAGAAAGCGACCTTTTCCCTTGTCAACACCGACGCAGTCAAAGAAGGCGACACTGTCACCATGAAGTGTGAGACTGACGGAAACCCTCAGCCTGAGTTCGACTTCACTAAAAACGTACGTGTGTGTTTCATGTGCACAGAGTTTTCATACAATAAAGAAACGTAAAAGAAGTCTCAGCTGTCAATTGTAATGTTTCAGCCCTTTTTTAAAGTATTTAATAACTTATTGAAACCAAAGTTAAAAAACATCAACACAGTTTGGTCCATCTGCAAACAAAGATAGTACATGGTTTATCATCCATACTACAGCCAGCCAGCAGGGGGCGATCCAGATGTTTTGCTTTCAGTTTTGGGGGCTGTCATGTCGTCCATCTTTATTTACGCTCATTGGTCTTTATTCATGTCTTTTTCTACCAATACCTGTGATTCCACCTGCAGGGGGAAGTCATCACCGGTCAGGGCGGACTCCTGACGCTGAAATCCGTCAAGCGCACAGACGGCGGTGTGTACAGGTGCTCGGCCTTGGATTATGACAACTTGGACGCTGACCTGAGCGGAACAATCAACCTCAATGTCCACTGTGAGTGAGCCAAAGACACACACACACACACACACAAAGAGCTGCTGTCTGTACAAACAGATAAAGAACTGTTTACCTCCTGTTTGTACCGTTTAGCCGCTGCAGTGAGGCCATTCTGTTCCATCAGGAAATCACAGAATTAAAAGGGTTAGAGGAGAATGAGCTTTAATGGAATCCTTTCAGCCGACCGATATCCAATTCAATTTTTCACAGTTCATCTGCTACTTTAATGTTATCCCAACTACACTACCTAATTTGATCTTATCGCACACATTAAGTGCAGATAGCCCAGAAATAGCATGGAAGAGGCTTAACTTAGGCTTCGAAATGGGCTTAACTCCAGAGTAAGTGCATTAGCTTTGTAAAAATCAAATATTCTGCTTAGTATGGCCATACTAAGAACCTTATTACATGGTCCTTAAAATGATGTGAAGCTTGTTCATTTCAAGTCGCACTTCTTTAACTGTTTAATTTATATAGATGATTTTTGTGTGTCCACGTCCCCGTCTCTCATTTGCTTTTCATTTTGTCCGTGTCAGACATTGACCCCGTGAACGTGACCCCTGTCGAGCCTCAAGTCGTCATGCTCGGAGACAAGGTCGAATGGCAGTGTAAGACCAAGGCGTCCGCTTCGCACACCGTTCAATGGAAAAAGGTGTGTTCTTTTTTCTATCAGCTTCATGGAAATGTATACTTATGCAGAATTTTCCTCTTTTTTCCTAATCAGGTCATAGACGTTGTTCTGAACAAATATAGATAACGTTTATTCCGACATATTGCTAGATTCTTCCTTGGGCTCTATATTTTAACAGTTATAGGACGGTTATAATTTTTCAACAACCATGATTACAGTGCCCTTCTTCAGTGGTTAAATACAACATTTCATACTGTGATACAGAGCGTCACTGTATATGCAGCTGCTACTCAACACTGGAGCCTGCAGGTCTGAAGCAGGGCTCCCTTTACAGACACTTGTGGCCCCTCTACACTGGCTGTATTGTATCGGATCTAGTTGCAACAACTGGAGAGGAGACACTGGAGTTTGGTCAATGTTGTGAATGAGGAAAAAAAAAAAACACACGGTGCGTGTCAGTGTAACTGTGAACCCAAACCCTGTGGGAGACATGTGCTCTTTATATTTTAACTTCTTACAGTAACCTCATCTCTTTTTACTCGACACATTAAAACTGTTCATGTGTTGGGGGAACGATGGCCGGCATCAAACACTATTTGGATTTTGCATATTCTCTGTGCAGCCGTCGATGGCAACAACCCACACGTCTCTTTTCAGTGACAAACAATGCACATGTCATATCCTAAATTCATTTTTTGAACATATCAAGAAGCAGAAGATTTATTGACTCTTTCAGTCTATTTGAAGCCACTCTGTACATTCTGTAAAACCACAAATCAGTTTGATACCATTGGTATTTTTTGATTTTCATCCCTGCTCCTCCATCTGTTATCTGCACAGTGTTCCTGCAGTGTCAGGCTTGTTGCTGTTACCTGTCTATCTATTGTTGTGTCTCCGGGGTGCCATGAAAAACACACAGTAACTTCTGGGTTTGTGGGTAAAAAAGGTGTTTGTTCTTCGAAAGAAAGATTCCTGTGGGAAGAATTGTAAGAGACAGGTTCATTATATGGAGGACTCAACTTTGATCTGTTATCAGCACATTGTGGAGTGTGAAGGTTTTTCTCTGCTTTCCCAGCATCGCAGCGTGCCTACAAACTTCACAATGCTGATCTGCTCTCATCTTCACACACACACACACACACACACACACACAGACACACACACACAGACACACACACACACACCCACAGACACAGGATATAGAGGAGTGTGAAGTCCAGCTGGTTTTATTGCTTGATGTTTGTGTTCCTCCAGGGCTCTGATGTGCTCTCTCAGGATGGCACTCTGTCAATACAAGATGTTTCCTATGATAAAGCTGGAGAGTACATGTGTGTTGGAGCTGTGCCCTCTGTGCCAGGACTGACAGCGGAGTATAGTGTCAACCTCACTGTCAAAGGTAACAAACACACACACGCAAACTAAGTAAAACAGCGTTTTTGCAAGGTTACATAAAGATTTTAATCAGATCAATGCTCTAAGTCCCGTGCATAAACACACATACACAACTTAGCAAAAGAGTGAGGATACCCAACCCGAGGGGTTCGGGTTTTTTCAGGGAAAACAAGTGTCACACAAACTCGGTGCAGCTTACTTTATCTGCATTGGGCTCAGGTCGGGTTCAGACACAAAAAATCAGAATATCTGTCAGGTTCAGGTCAGTTGGTTTTCTCTTGGACTCTGAGGGGTATGTACTGTACACAGGAATGCAGCCTGAGCCACACTCTGCTCAGCTAGGTACTGTAAGTAGTGCAAACCTTCTTTTTTTTCTCACCCACAACTACACATAATATAATCACAACGATCAGTGTAAGGGCGTGCAGAGTATTGTTTTAGGCAGAGGAAGGAGGTTGTATAGTGGGTGGAAGCAGCTGAGAGATGGGGTCACTTCCTTGATTGTTGATTATGAATCTCTGTGTGTGTGTGTGTGTGTGTGTGTGTGTGTGTG